TCGCTGATACAAAAACCTCACCTACTCAGCATTCCCATAGCTTACAGAGATAAAAATTGCATATAGGTAAAGTAGTGTCTCCATTGATATACGGTTCGTTTGTCTTTTGATAAGTGGAGCAAAATGTTCCCAATGTCTTTCGGTAAAGAGAGTCCCGGGAAAGGACATAGGATATTTTTTCCCCAGAAATCATCTTTTGAGAGAGTGAAATCAGGGGTGGAACTTTGTATGAGAAAGCAATTTGTCCACGCAGAGGAAATCGCGGTCACCCAATAGTAACTAGGTAACTAATTTGTAAACGAAGAATGGATTACGAGTAGTTACGCAGGGCAGTGTTTTGTTCACACCCCTCAAACAAATGACATTTGTAATTCAATGAACAAAAACAAAACGAATAAAGACAAAATAAAAAAATATATAAATCCTACTTTTAAAATGTCGGTTTCGTAGCATTGCCTACCAGCCGGTCTATTCGCTAACTTTTGACATTTACTGTGTGTAACTAAAGAGAAAATTGCATACCCATCGATGCTTTTCAGAACAAGTATCTTAGTGGCGTTGTAATAAAGCAATAGTAGATCACTTATTAGCTCGGTGATTATCACTTCTGTCAAAAGTTAGAGAATGGGCTTACAGATCCGCTAGTTTTTGTTTTTTGAGAAAATGTTTTTTTTTTAGGGGTAAAATTCTTAGGTTGTTTCATAATGAAATATTATATGTTATAGCCAAAAGGAGTTCTAGAATCTCTCATGGGAGTAAGTTCGATTCACTAATATAGTTTTGAATAAGTATTTTTTTTTTTCTACAAATCTGGAGTGATGCCATTCACGACGTCATAGAACGCTGCGTTTTCCAGTCCAGAGAGTAAGACACTCTCGAGGTAGGCGATGTATGACGATAATATGCTGCCCTATCACTTATTTTTATTTCTAGATACTATGGTAGTCTTGAATGACCAAAAACAATTGCTGTGGTTATGAATCCACGATGCAAGTGAAACTTTTAAAGTGTTGGGCTGTCTACATCCCCTAAAATTTTTTACGTATCAGATTTAACTCAAAATTTTCGGAAAATTATTCGAAGTTAATGTTACTCCGGCTTATAGATAGTGGAAAATTAAAAAAGTCCTTCCTCGTTTGAGAATCGAACCGGGCCGCCCATGTGGCAGGCGAACTTTCCACCACTGAACAACCGATGCTTGTGGATAGTCAGAATTTTAAAATAACTACTTTTTTTTTCTTTATTTTATAATGGATGGTTTAATCAAATTGATTATGTCACCCTCGAAGATCACAATGTATGGTCATAGCCTTCGTTTAATACCAATTTTAGTCAATAATCAAGCTTTTTCTGAAAGCGAAAAGCTAGAATATTTTTGTGCATTCACCAATATCGTACAATGTAATATTATGTATAAATTCCATCCTCTCTGATCCGTACCGGACACATTCCATGATTATGTGAACTACACTACATCCTCAACTTTATCACACTTCGTACAATTTGATTTGATTGTTTTTTGAACTATTAAAAATGTATTGCGACATGCTAAAGATGAACGAAAAAAATATGACGAGGAATTAATAACAAAAATACAAATACATGTCAGTTTTATTTATTGATTGCGAATTTTTAATGTTTTTTTTAACAAAATTTAATTTAATTACCAAATATACAATAGTTATTTACGATATTAGTGCGGAAAGTTGGTTATTACAAACGAGTAGACGAATTTAACATAGTTTATTATCGAGTCACGAGTTTGTAATACCAATCCGCACGAATGTCATACAACGTTTTTCAACACATTTGCGAGATAACATTATACCTAATTTTAAGTAATTAAGCATTTTTTTTTCTAATAAGAAAATGGCGCGCATTTCCAAATGGCGCCATGTGCGGGTGGTGATAATTATAACTACATCTTTCGTCTCTATTTCTTTTTAGTATTAAAGATAGTCGTAGGTATAGACTAAAAGCGATTTCGTGGAGGTTCGAAATTAAAAAAAAACTTAAAAGAATATGCACGGTGCCGTGTAGGGAAGCGTGGGTAATGAATTTTTACCGCACGCTCAGGCGTATGGCCCGTAATTTTGAATTATCGAACCATTTATACAACCTCCGTAAATGCATTTCTTGAGCAAATGTGTTGAAAAATGCAGCAATTACGAGCAGAATGAAGACTTGAAGGCTTGAGCAATGACAACGGATAATATTCAATTTTCGCATTTTTGCCGCTCAAAATTTTAAGCCTTAACTTTATAGCGTTAGGTTAAAATTTAAAGGACGTTGGTTTTTTGAAATGATACGGTAGTGCGGTGTGCATTCTTCCAACGAAAATTTGAGAACGTATCATAAAATCTTAACGGGAGCATTAAGGATGAATCTATTTTTTTTTCTTTTTCTAGGTTCAGGTACATGAAAAAATTTCTACATATAATTAAGGTATTACATAGATATATTGATTTGAAATGTCGCATGACGTCACGTATTGGTACAATTTTTCGTCACGTTACTAGACAAACTTGACGCGCCTTATCTTTGTAATTTTTGATTGATTGACAAAAGATTTTTTTTTTTGTTAATCTTACTGACGAACTAAAAGGAATTTCGTTTAATTTACCCTGTCATCATCCCATTTCCAATTGTTGGAGCAAGACATATTATTATAACCATTTATAACACAAGAAATCACAGCTTTAACAGGTGGATTTGCCTGGCACAAGAGTTTAAAATAGGCCTCTGGGGATAAAAACCTAGATATTGTATTATTATAGCGTTCACAATAGAATATTAACAGGATCTCTTAAAAAAATAGGAAAAACCGGTCAAGCGTGTTGGACCATTAAACTAGATCGACTAAAAAGACAAAAAAAAACGAGTGACCACACGCCTGAAGTGAAACTTCTTTAGCTCCATCTGCATGTATATATATATATATTATATATATTTACATGTATGTACATATATATATTTCATTTACTAGCTATAAAATAAAGAGACAGAAAATGCGCGCGCACACTTCTTTCCCTTGCTTATATCCCCCACTCCCGTTCGCCTCGCCCGAACACACTTTTTGTAACGCATAACGCATTCGCCTGTTTACCCCTAAGCCAAGCGTGCGTAAAGACGTTTCACTGTTTCAAAGTTAAACATATAGAAATTCCCTATATGTTTGACTTTAATATAATTTTATCACGACGTAACAAGAATTCTGGGAAAATTTCAGGTGTCTAACTATTTCCGTACAAGAGAGCCAATAAGTGTCAGACAGCACAGCGGAGGCATAATTAGTAGGATACTGTTTGTTACCTTTTGGTTACGGAACTGTTAGGTCTTTGTGTCTTCGACTAAAAATAATTATTTGTTGTGACGGGACTTGTACCATGTATAAGGAATAATTCATAAAGTATGCTGACGCCTTTGATCTTTAGACGCTTTGCAGACGGCGGGGCGGAGCGGACCGTTCAATTTCGCCGCGAACGATAGCACAAAGTGAATCCTATACTACAAACGCACACAGAGGCCAAAAAGACCGCGCCGCACCACGCACCACGGCGCGACATGTCCGCGGCTGCCCGCCGTGGATCATACAAACCAGTTTATATGCACTAACGCAGACGGCGGCACGGGGCGGCTAGCTCACTCCGCGCCACGCGCTTTTTAGTGATGGACTATTCACTAGAACGAACGTCCTGAACTGACTGCCTCTGCCCGTCGTGTGCTTTGTGTACGCGGCGAGGGCAGCCGCAGACATCGACGGGCAGACGCGGTTTTTATTGCTTCGCGGACAAAAAGCCCGCCCCGCCCCGTCGTCTGCAAAGCGCCTTATAGGTAAAGAAAACAAATACCCACATTTAGCATGTTCAATAAAACATATGTAGCCCCGGATATTTTAACTAAATAAATTAAAATTAATACTGAATACAAAAAGAGTTTTCGTTTATTCAATTTTTCTGACACATTATGCATTGATTTAATCTTATAAATAAGTAGTTACAAAATAAGTATTTTATTATTTTTTAAGCATTTAACTGCTAGTTGTTTAATTTCCTTTAGATTTATACAAAATAAATAATAGTGAAAATGTCAAACACGAAATAAAGATGTAATTCGCCTTCTGACACAGTGTGGTAAAAATTATTACAAAATATTTCTAGCTATCTCATAGCGAAACACGTACGTAGCAAAGATTAAAGTAGCCATAGCAATAGCTTAATATTTAAATCGTTCTGGCAACGAATCTATACATATAATAAAATGGTAGGAAAGTCAAAACTGTACATTGAATATTTTTTTAAAAGAATACTTAGGGTGTGATCTACAATCGATCCCGAAGCAAAAAATATAGTTTTTAGATTTTTTGTCTGTCTGTATGTATGTCCGGGATAAACACAAAAAGTACTGCATCGATTTACTTCAAATTGGCACGAATATTATTAAGAAGTCGGGTCAACATATAGGCTACATATTATCACGCCATCACCTACGGGGTACGAGCAGTGAACCTTTATTTCTAACTAACTCCACGCGTACGAAGTCGCGGGCGGCCGCTAGTTAGAAATAATATGGAATACGAACTGCGCAAAAAAGTGGTTTCACTCAAACTGCGATCAAGTGGGCGGAGCGAGCGAAAAAATACGATCAACACGCCCATCACGGGCTTCTTTGGGATTTAGAAGATGCTACATTCAATAAATCATCTTCTATTTGTATTTGCTTCTTGGTTATCGCTATGGCTTACAAAACATCAATTATTTTTAAGGCCAAATTTTATTATATTCCCTACGTATTTGTCCATAACAGTAACTGCTGTATTAACAATAAAACACATAATATTTTCGTTTGGTATTTACGTGCTTTTGTGCAACGGCCTTAGATTTCTGTGATTGTGAAGGTATTTCCCCATCGTCCACAAAACATTACTATGAGGTTTAATTTTATTACATTCTATAATTAACCGTCCATCAATGGTAACTCCGTAAATTACAATGAACAGATAATACTGTCGACTGTATTTACGCGCTTTTGTGCAACGGCCTAAGGTTTCTGTGGTTTTGAAGGCATTTTATTGAGCAAAACTTGAAGTCGTCATACTGGAAAGGCACCTTGGGCAACGATGAACCGCATAGAAAGCAACGACACTCGTCAGCTTTTACCTGATAACAAAGGCAATGTATAGTCGGCGACTCATTAGGTTACAACAAAATGTAAATTTTTATTAATCGATTTTGAATCCTAATACTATTGAAATAAAGCTCATAATCAATTGGAGAAATTTGTCAGTTTTAGCTACCTAACCTGTGGCTGTCTGTACTTCTTATATTTGGAAATTACAAACATTGACATTTATAATAGGTATAAATTAGTAGAGTAGTGGTGAATTTGTCAGCATGAAAAAAAAAACGTTTTCCATATCAACTTCCACCCCCTATTTCATCCTATTTAAGGATAATTTATGGGATAAAAACTATTTTTTATTTTTCTTAAACACACACCAATTAGCCAAGCCCCAAAGTAAGTACTGTAAGGCTTGTGTTATGGGATACTAGGATAACAAATAGAATACATATATAAGTATATTTATATAGAAATACATATTAAACATCCATGACTGAAGTACAAATGCTCGTATTCATCAGAAAAACATCTGCCCCCACCGGGATTCGAACCCGGGAACTCTCGAGTCGGTGAAACCATGAAACCAGGCGTATAAACCACTCGGCCACGAAGCTCATCAATGCTATGCTATATCCTTTTCCGGAACTGAAACTAACTTTACACCAAATTTATTAAAATCGGTTCAGCGGTTTAAGCGTGAAGAGATAACAGACAGACAAACTTTCGCATTAATAAGATTAGTATGGATTTGATACCTTTTGTGCGTCGGTGAGCTGCAGGAACTTGTTTGTCTTGATCTTCTCGAGTTGCTTCTCCTTGTCGCGCTGCCGCTTCGCTCGCTTCTGCTGCGCTTTCTTTTCCCGCTCCGCTTCTAGAAGCTCGGAGGTAATCGGCCCCGGAATATGTGACTGACGGACAAATGGAATGTTTCATCAATCATGTATAAGATTAACCAAATCAAATAAAAGAAAACTTCTTTTAACAAAAAAAAGAAAGCAAAGGAGAGACTCCTTAAACAGCCTAGTCTTTAGTAATATTTTTATTTTATTTAAGCATTTAACTGCGAGATGATTAAAACTAAAGAAAATTCTAGAAAAAATCCACGCGGAGCTTGCAGCAGACGGGACTCGAACCCGCACCCTCCGTTATCCGGGCGGATGCATTGACCAATTATGCTACCGCGACCCTAATGGCCGTGTCGAATTTCTTCTACTAATACGCTGCAAAGCAGCGCTATTGTGGGTTACCTACAATGCGAAAAGGTGTTTTTCTACTAAAATTTTCTCTAGTCTTTAGTGTTTATATTTTTTTTTTCGCGTACAAAACCAACAAGGTATCCTCTAGTTGTGTTATTCGTGACTTCTCACCTTAGCATAGTTATATTTGTCAGGGAACTGCCCCTGGAACAGTCGGAACGCTACCCTGGTGTCAGCGTGAGGCGTCGCCGAGTACGGAGTCTGCTGCTGATTGTTGCGTATGCACGGATCGCCGCCCGCCGATAGGATCTGACTGACGACAAAACTTTAAAAAATACTGCGATCAAACTGAATAAATTAATGTACAGGAGTAAACATTTACAGGACTTCACTGTCGAAAGTAACACAATGATCGGACAGGGGCAACGAATTAGAAATAATTTGGAACACGAACTGCGCTAAAAAGTGGTTCCATGCAAACTGCGATCAAGTGGGCGGGGCGAAAACTGCGATCAACACGCCGATCATGAGATTGGTTATGATTTTCTTTTAACATTATCATACCCAATCAAGGGATAGCCGAATTCATTTGCAGGCATTTGATTTGTCTAAGTATTTTCATGTGTCTGAGTGCGTGTGGTGTAGTATTAAAATTTAGTTGTATGAGTTTGTAACCATGTATTAGCGGCCTTTGTTATAGTTAGGCTTCTTTATCATATATACTTGGTTGGACAGGGACTTAAAATAGGAAACTTTAGCTTTGCGGTCGTTTGAAGTATTGTTAATTCGATGATCGATAGGATTTTACTGTCATTGACTTGCAACTTAAGAAATACTAGAAGGAATTCGTCACGATTACTTTAGCATAATGAGCGAGCGACATAGCGAAGGACAGAAGTAGTTTGATTCCATTCCATTTCCAGCATGATACCTTTTTTTTTAATTTATTACCGTATCCAAAATAGAAACAAAAAATGGCATGCGATGCATCTAAAACCACTAAAGTTTATAAAGGAGTACACATTTTTATTAACTCACTTAAAACATAAAATGCTCTTATACAACCGAGTTACAGCAAACTAAGAAAGTAATTATACAACTTATAATTAACATTCATATATGTGATGCTGTTTCGTTATTCTGGCGACAAGTTATTAATAAATCGGGACAAAAGGTGGATAGTTGTCCGATCACCATATGCAATGGTGTTGATTCTGGCATGATACTCTAAATCTAAACTTTAAATTGACAACAGTGTATCCTTGTCATTCTCTATACAGAATAAAGAGGAGAAACTGATGTTAAATTTAGTTTTAAGTTTAGAGAATCGTGACAGAATCGACACCATTGTTTGCGCGTGGCTCCCTAAACCGATTCTTGGCTGTGCCCCGAATATATACAGGCTGTTCAATTGTCATTTTTGGAGAATCGTTACAAAATTGCTATTTGAGTAAAACATATTGAACCTGCACATGTATTGGTAAGGATATACAGTGTTTAAAAATGCCCTTTATATTAAACTGGTTATTATTTTTAGAAACCTGGCAGAGATTACACTATTTCTAGTTTCTGGTAATTTTTTTCTAAAACATCTTAATCTCAACATTTGAAATATAGCTAACACCCACGTGACAAGTTCAACGATGTCTAGTAACTTTCTAAAACTTTATGAAAACTTTAACTATTTATATCTAAATACTCACGTGACCATATCAGGTTTCTCCGCCATAGCGGCCTTGTGCAAGGCAGTATTGCCATCGCTCGGGTCCTGTGTGTTGCAAGCTGCTTCTAGCTGACCAATCTCCCAGCTTTCAAATATTGTGTCTAGGGACGACTGATCGCTGGATATCACTTTCCAAAGCTGTTCGAATGGAGACAACAGAATAGAATGAAAGAAACCATTAAAACTGTTACATAGGGACACTAGGTAGATAAATCTTTATTGTACTGCACTAGCGGACCTGCCCAATAAAAATATTTAAAGAAAATGCTACAACTCGATTGTCGTATAGAGTTTTAAACCCAGTTTTCTTAAAGTTATATATTTTTCTTTGCAACATTGTAAATTTTAATTTCGTATTAGAAAACTTAAAAATAATGTTAATGTAAAAATAAAGAATTGTTCTCAATTTATAGTGTGACCCAAATATATTTTTTTAGTGATTTGACAAACCTTCTTGACTTCAGCAGGAATCTTCTGAGGCACCTTCTTTGGTTGCTTACTGTCTTGCTTCTCTTCCGGTTTTTTCTTCTTTTTCTTCCTCTGTTGCTCCTTCTTGTCTGGCAAGGATTCTGAATCGCTTTCAGTCTCCCTATGACTGGGGGCTGATAAATCATTGAGGAGATCTTTTTTAGAACTACTTATAGCACCATTTGATGTCTGCTCCGACAATTTCTTTATCCAATCTTTGGGGGTTTCAGAGTCTATGAAGCATGGGCCTTCGTCTTCGCTTGACACCATCTGCGTTGGTAATTCTCTTGGAGCGCGCTCTCTAAAATAAAATACATTTATTTTATTTCATTGTATGCAGCAACATGTGTTTTACTTGTCCTTCATTGAATAGAAAAGAATAAAAAAAAATGCTGTTCCCTTAGGCAGTTGGCTCACCGCCGGCGAGGAAGCGTCTAGCTATCGGCTATTAACTTGCTCAAGAAACGTACAATAGATATAAGTACATTCAGTATCAACAAAAGAGATGCATATATTCATCGAGAGAACCTCTTTTACACGGAATGTATATCTTTTGTATGTTTCTTGAGAGAGAAAATAGCCAATAGTTAGTCGCTCCCCGACAATTGCCTCATTGAGTGTTTGACATCTTCGAATGATGACCATTTATGATTATGTAATTGTATTATTACCTACCCTCCAAATAATAATAAACAAAAACAACAACTTTCACAATACAAAGGTCCCAAAAGGAAGACATCACCTGAGCCAACACATAAAAAGCCTAAAACACCATTGAAAGGCAATAAAGGAAATAGAAATAAATTCTACATATCCACTCTTAATACGAGGACACTTAGAACCGAAGAACACCTAGCAGAATTACAAAAGGCCCTGGAAATAATGAATTGGATATAGTCGGAATCAGCGAAGTAAGGCGAATGGGAGAAGAGATAAGGGAATACGACGACTATATATTTTATTTTAATGGCGAAAAGCAGGGAATGTGTGGAGTTGGATTTTTATTCAAAAAACAACATAAAGAATATATAGAATAATTCCAAAGTAAGTCTGATAGGATTGCAGTCCTCAACATAAAACTACCCAGTCTTGAAAAAGCTGTTTCGATTATCCAAGTATATGCACCAACTGAACAAAACGCAGAAGAAGAAAAAGACCAATTTTACAACGCATTACACCAAACGATACAGCGAAGGAGGTAACACACAAACAAAAAAATTTGATAGGAGACTTCAACAGCCAAATTGGAACAGCACAGGAAGGGGAAGAACATATAATTGGTCCATATAATACGGGCAAAAGAAACAGAAATGGTAGCAGGCTATGCAATTTTGCAATGGAATAAAACCTCAAAATAATGAATAGTATGTTCAAGAAATAAACAGCAAGACAATGGATCTGGATCTCTCCTGATGGAAAACATAAGAATGCCATTGATTTTATTCTAACTAACATGCCTTACCAATTTATCAATGTAGAAATCATTAATAGACTAAATTTCAACACAAACCATAGAATGGTAAGAGGAACAATAATAACACAGAAAACTAAAAAATCAAGGAAATACTTTAATTGTGACATACACCAAATAGTGCCTCGTTTGACTGATGAAGTCAAATCGGAACTGGAAAAGATAATACCGGATATGCAGTCAGAAAAAACAACTAAGCAAAAATACGATGAAATGGAGAACTTTATATTGAATATCTGTAAAAGAATGACAAAGAATAAAACAAGGAAAGACAGAATTGGCGAAAATGCCCGAAGAAATATAGAAATAAGAAAAACCCTTTTTCACGACAGAAGAAATAATACAAAGAGAATTGAAACCATCAGCAAGGAAATCACAGAGAGTATTAGAAAACACAACCAAGAAAACAAACTAAACATAATAAAAAATGAAATAGAGAAAACAGGAGGTGTAAAGAAGGCATGGAAACAAAGACCATAAGACCTGGTTGCCAAATGTGAGAACTAAAGACCATCAAGGAAAATACACAATTACTGGCAATAGACCAGAAATAGGCACTGTTGCAACAAATTATTACAAAAATCTCTATTGTAAAACCAAAGGAAAGGACAATTCAGCTATGGAAGATTTCTCAAGGGAAGATGAAGCAATACCAGACATCCTAACCAGTGAAGTCAGAAAAGCTGTCACAAAAATCTAATAAAGCTCCAGGAGATGACAAGATTACCAACGAGCTCATAAAGGAGACTGTAGACATCATAGGACCAAGTCTAACCTGCCTATTTAATGAGATCCTACATAAAGAGGAGATTCCTAAACAATGGACTAAATCAACAATAATTCTCATCCATAAAAAGGGAGATAAAACCAGATAGACAACTATTTTTTTTTTATTCGGTAATAGGTAAGCGCTTGACCATAATTCGCCTGATGGAAAGTAATACTATAGACCTATTAGTCTGTCGAATATGTATAAAATCTTTGCTAAAATCTTACTCGGAAGACTAACAAAATGTCTCTGGATGAATAGCAACCCAGAGAGCAAGCTGGTTTCCGCAGAGACTTTTCCACTATGGACCATATACACGTAGTGAAACAAATAATTGAAAAATACAACGAATACAGAAAATCATACTACTTGGCTTTCGTTGATTATAGCAAGGCATTCGACTCGTTAGATCACAATTTCTTATATAGAGCACTACACAAACAGGGGGTCAACCATAAATACATAAAAATAATTTCGCAAATATATGGAAGAAGTACGTCAAAAGTTCAGCTAGAGAAAATTGGAGAAGAGTTTAGAATAGAGAAGGGAGTAAGACAGGGGGACCCTCTGTCTCCTACACTGTTCTCTGCAGTTTTAGAGGAAATATTCAGAAACCTAGATTGGGAAGAACTGGAAATAAACATCAATGGTACCAAATTACACCATCTACGGTTTGCTGATGATTTTGTATTGTTTGCGGAATCTCCAGCAGTGCTTCAACACATGCTGATAAAACTTGCGGAGGAAAGTGAGAAAGCAGGGTTAACCATGAACCTGACAAAGACTAAGGTCATGACAAATGGTCCCAAAATAAATATTCTCATAAAAAATGAACTTATTGAATAAGTTGATGAATATATATATTTGGGACAAGTGATAGCAACAGAACTACAAATGCAAAAAGACCTACAGCGTAGAACTAGTAACACATGGTCACGATACTGGTCCCTGAAACAAATAATAAAAAACAATGATATGCCTAGCCTACACAAAAAGAAAGTATTCGACACTTGCATACTTCCAGTACTCACCTATGGATGCCAAACATGGTCCTACTCAAAACATACAACACAAAGGTTAAAAGTGTGCCAACAAGGAATCGAAAGACGTATGTTAGGTATCAAACTAAAAGACAAAGTTCGTCTCTCTGCCATAAGAAAAAAGACGAAAGTGGTAGATGTAACCAGAAAGGTCAGAACACTGAAGTGGAGATGGACTGGGCATATCATGAGGTCGAAGAGGAACAAGTGGACAAAAGATATCATGGAGTGGTACCCCCGAGATGGTAAACGTAGAAGAGGTAGACAATACAAAAGATGGGAAGACGATCTACCCAAGAGTTGGCGACGAGCAGCCACAGATAGGAACCAATGGGCCAATTTGGAGGAGGCCTATGTCCAAGGACAACCTGATTGTACACATGCTGATGTCAGCGATTAAACCAAAAGTTTTAATTTTAAGTTATTTTTAAAATGTACAACAGAGAATAAAGGCTATTTTTATTTTATTTTATTAATTGTATTATGGTGTAACAATGTTTCAGTTCAGTTTAAGAAACGAAAAGCTTTGATTACATACACCCTAGTTACTGTTTTAACTAAAGCACAAAAATTAACTACTACGTTTGGTAGATATTATGCTGGTCCCTACACATTGACTGCTTTAGTGCAATCTGACATCAGAGTCACTCAGGACATTGCGCGAAACATGAGCCTTTTTCTTTTCGTGATTTATTTATTAATAATGAAAGCCTGTACATCTTTTTTTCATCTTTAAGATACGAAATTACGGACAAGCACTAGCCAGGCCGGGCAGTATCATACATGTGGTTTTCCAGAATTCGCAATTATGCTTTACATTTTTCTTACCTAGACTTAGCTCTGTCAATAGGCTTAGTGGGACTCTTTTGAGGTTTCTTCGGTCGTTCCACAGTAGTGTCGGAAGACGCTTTAGTTATGGGCTTTGCTGTGGAAGTTATTAATGCCTTTTGGAACAGTTCCATTGTGTCTGAAATATAATTCAATAAATTATTTAATAAATTATGTTCCTGCTGGACTGGAACTGAACTAAAATTATACATTGTGTTATGGATAGAGAGGAATAACTGACAACAGTGCCCAATGGTAAGGACTACGCCAAGAACTTGTCTTTCGGATGAGCTTGATAACAATGATTGGTCACCCATCTGATGAACTGCCTATGTGATACCTTCCATAACCACAGACCAAACCACTGCATCATCGAACTCCGCAAGAGACAATAGTATAATTCCATAAATAATTATAATTCTTGCCAGTTCATCCCAGTTCAAGGTGTCCCGCCGTATATTTACGGCGATGGCGTAGCTTCTGGTCATTCATGAGTACTTGTAACATCCTAAAATGATTATAGTTTTATGAACAAACAAAGGTACTTACCATACACCTCTACACTAGCGACGGTTTCGTGCACCCTCTGGACTTCTTTATAAGAAGGCTTCTTTGTCGGGAACGGGAGCACTCTAACTCTGGGATCCTCCCTTTTCAAGGGGGAATTCTTTCCAAACAAAGCTGCTTGGTTCAAAGACCCCACAGCGCGGTACAATATGAAAGTGCATCCTATCAGATCCTCAGCCCAGTTTGTTATCACCTCTTGGACATGCTGAAAACAGACAACTAAAATTACGAAATATAGTGTGATTCAAACTAAAGTCTACATTTTTATTTTACTATAGGCCTCGTATTTTCGATAGATGTTTAACGCTATCATATCATCTAAACAGAAAATTTCTACATTATTTGAAATTCCAATTTGTTTCCCAATAGAATCACCAAATCACCAATAAACTGAAAACTCCTTTTTGTAGCTAACAGTAAAGCAAAATTATTAACGCTGTCAGAGGTTGAACAACAAAAAATTTCTACTACAAAAACTGCTCCTGGCAGAATCCTCTCAGCTAGCTTCTCTTGGAGCATTTCCATGTTAATTCCTCACTGCCTGTACTTGCCCTTGTCCCCGTGTCGTTACATAGGACCTACGAGTCTTACATACTACAGTGACGCCCCCAGAGAATAGGGGCCATCCATAAAATACGTGCTCCTCAGTGCACCGGCGTTGCCTAAATCCTCGGTACACCGCGATCTCTCGCAGATGCCCTGAGAAGACGGGGAAGATTGATCTGCTTCTGAAGGAAAGTAGACTGGCTGGACGTAAGTTAATCAGACTACCTAGACAAGCCCTGAAACAAATCGTGGGTATACTCACGGGTCACGGCTACTTCAACAAACACCTTTGTAATATAGGTATTTCTGACAGCCCTCTGTGCAGAGCCTGCCTGTAGGCGGATGAGACGAGCGCCCATGTCCTACTGGAGTGCAGGGGCGTTGCAAGACAAAGGACTTCTCTAATGGGAAGCCCAAAGACAATAGTAGAGGCCTGCAGCAACATTCGGGGACTGCTGAGCTTTCTGGAGGAGCTGGGATGGCAGGACTGATGCCAATCCCAACGCAAAATAGGCACTAGGTGTCGAGTTGTGGAAACAGCCCGCCGTACTACTAAGACTGGCTGGAATAATTAGCCGCCATAGTTTAAAGGTCCATATTTTAAGGACTAAGTGCGGAAACTACAACCCTTAACATAGAACATAGAAATATTATCTTCCACCACCGACCTCCAAAAACTGCGCCTGGCAGTATCTTCTTAGGCTAGCACCGGCAGATCTTGGTGCGTTTCCATGTTGATCCCTCAGTGCCTGCGCTTGCCCTTGTCCTCGTCTCGTCACATAAGATCTATGAGTCTTGTGAACTACAGCGACGCCCCCAGAGAATATGGCGCCGGCGAAGTTACCGCCAGACACCATGAGCACTGCCCAGCGCTGGAAGCCTGGTATAGAGAGCCGTTTGCATCGCTCCACCCAAGCATAACCTTCACCGTCAGTAGATAATTCTTCCTGCCAAGATAACAATGTCATGATAAAAATGGGTTTTTCTCATAGTTCAAAATTATTTCCCAAACAAGACAAAAAAAACTTCACAAAGTGTGTTTCATTTTACTCCAATTTTCCAATGGAGCAGTTTTACTTTGAAAATAATTTCAACTACTTATGAAGTAGTGCTAAATTGTGTGAGATTCTTCTATTTTTAGTACAAAACAATGAATTTCTGTGACAATAACCCAAAAAAAACTAGTGTTGTAAGTTTTTAAGACTGTTTTAAAGCTATGATTTTTTCTGCTCAGTAGCTAATGTAGTGATAACAATAGATATCATTAAATTGAAATTGTTCTACATGGCAACCTACACAGACAAATAGTCAATTGACAGTTACAGTGAAACAACCACTTTGGCACCTAAGTTTGGCATATTTCCATAAACATAAATCAATATTATAATTATTATCGGAATTGCTACCAACGGCGCTTGCACCAGTGGCCAAGTTTTTGGGACTCACTAACTACTAATGACTATAATATAAGCGACCATGAAAGTTTTAAATAATATAACACTTGTCAATAGTGTCTCCTTTCCATTTCATTGTAGACTTACACTCAATCTAGTTCCAATCATAATAACTGCAAACCTTTTTATGATGTAAAATACATCTGTAGACGCAGAACACTTGTCCCTTTTGGTTGGTGAAAAAAGCCTTACAATGGCGTGTGGCAGCTGCAAACAAGTCTGTAGCAGGTTTCTTTGATGAGTCTTCTGATTCCGATTCACTGCCTGACACACTAAGGTCATCCTCTGAAATAAAAACGTAATTCATTAATCAATAAAGTCATTTTCTTTTTATAAAGTAACTACTTACTTGATTCATTAAGCATTTAAAGCTTAAATAAGAAATGAAAGAAAATAAATACTAGTTCAATAGTTTCGGAAAATCCTTTCTTAGCACACACCTACATCATAAGGTGGCAAATTTCAGCACAATCCATTAAGTAGTCTCAAAAACACTTACCTTGTCTTGAATTAAACTGTCCTAATGTGAGAGGTAACTTCCCAAAGAGTTTTCTTTTAAGGTTGTGAGTGTGCCAATGTTGCTTGTAGTGTGCAGTTTGTTGGGCTCTCGTCTCAAACGGTCCGACACCGCAGCATGAGCAACAATTACCATCAGAAGGTCCATTTAAAGTGAGCGCACTTAACCTACGTATTACACTAGCTTCATCCACTGCAAAAGATGTATTAAATTGCATAAATACATTTCAATTTTAATTTCAAGGTTAAAATGACATTTTGAAAGTGCAAATAAATTGGTTACATGTGTCATTGTGAACTTCATTGAATAATAAATGAAAGCATCTTATGACACATTTTTACCTACCTACTTGATGTGATTCTGTGATCATACAAGCTGCTACCTTAACCCCATTTAGTAACTTTTCAAAATCATCTAGCTCATACACTTTTACCATTCTTGGTTTGATAATATCTGCTGTTTTAGAAGTCATTTTGAGTACATTTGTGTTATCTTTCTGTGTAATGATTATTGCACAACAAATTCAAATAAATTGTAACTTCATGCAATTTTGTAAGCATTCAGCACAACAGCCAAGGCCAAGGGCCGGGAATCGGAATCAGATCAGTCAGATTCAGGGAAGTGATGCGCGTAATCAATAAGAAATAATCGATATAACGATTATCGTCTTCTTATTCAGCGACCTGAGTACATTTATACCCAAAATCTAGAAAATAGTAATTTAAGTTATTTACGGTATTCTTACCATGTACCTTGTTTTTAGCGAATTTCCGATTACTAGTTACTCCGTGATTATGGCGCTTGCAACAGTGCCGAAATATCGGAAACTCGCAAAAAACAAGGTACATGGTAACAATCCCTTATATAACCTATATTACTATAATGTCAGTGACCATGAAAGTTTAAAACAATATATAAATAGACAGTAACACCATAAAAGAAAGTCCTATTGTTAATTTAGATAAATCTTTGTTTTTTTTTATTAATAAAATGCTTATATTTTACACCGGTGTAGCGAAAGCCTATTGTAATACTTAATGTTAATAAGTGCAACTATATTAAAACCTTTAAAGTATAGGTGTAGTGTATAGATATGGCAACACAAATACAATGTACGGAATAAATTTAAACATACGCTTTTGATTATGAATAATACGGTATTTTATTATAATAAGAACATAATTATTTAAGAAAAATTTGGTTAGCACATATTCTATTTAATTATTGAATGATCAAACAAACTTGCCCAAGTGAAGTTCGATCTGAATTGTCCTGTTATCGCCGAAGAGTTTTTTTTTTCTTTACTATGTAGTACCCTCAGTACGACCAGTCTGTCCGCACACAGTTTAGAGCGTAGTTAAAAAAAGTGGGAGGTAAACTCATAAAACTCAAAAAAATGTTCATATATTTAATAGAATAAGAGACAACATTGATAATGTTATCCTAGATAACTAGGAGGTAAAAAATATTAGAGTTGGCGGAATCCTAAATCTCTTGCGCGATAACAGGACAATTCAGATCGAACTTCACTAAGGTAAGGTTGTTTGATCCTTCAATTGTCCAGTTATTGCCTCCGAGTTTTATTTTTCTTTACTATCTAGATGTTCAGAAAGTAAAAGTCAATATTGTTAAAAAATAAATGGGATATTATCAGATAATAATTAAATAAATCATGTTCATGATTGCTTTTAGATACTTAGTACCAACATGCGATAAGCTTTGCTAATTATATTATCACCATGGTTGCTACATACATTTGCACTTTTATTAACACTATTCTGCAGAGTCTGCTTTATCTATCGCCAAGAGTGTTCGATGAAGCAGCTTTGTGAGTTCTTTTTCTGTACTTTAATAGATTTTTTATATGTAATCTCGTCTCAGACTTCGGTATAATAGCGGTAGTTGTAACATAGAAACACCCAGAGTAACTGAAGAGCAAATTCTCGGATCACTATCAAATAAGAATAGGCACAGTACTGTCTAGGCATGTGATAAATAAATTAAGAAAATCAATTTGATGTAAAATAGTCCTTATTAAATTTGTTGCAACAATAATTATCTTATCATTGTGTGGAGAAAACTACGAAATTTTATTATTTTTCCTTTTTTAAACTATACTAATATTATAAAGAAGAAAGTTTTGATTGTTTGTTTGTTTTCAATAGGCTTCGAAACTACGGACCGATTTGCAAATTTTTTTCACATTTAGAACCCTACATTATCCGTGATGAACACAGGCTATTAAGTATTTTTCAAAAAAAAATAGGGTTTCGTGTGAACTTCGATAATGTAACCCAATATGTGAAAAAAATACCAATAAATAACCTTATATCGCGTACGCTGCGGAATTCATAGACAATAGAGCAAAGTGATATCCCATAGATTAAAGAAGACAACAATAGATACAAAAAATTGCAATACCATTTGTCCAACTATTACAGTTATGTCACAACTAACGATGCCCTGCGGTTTCACCCGCGTCAATTTGAGGAAAAAGGTTATGGTAAATCAAACTTAAAAAATGGACATATGCTGTCGCGGACTCTTTTTATTGAACTTTTAAAGGTGAATAATTTCCGTCATACATGATTTTTGTGTTACTTGAACCGTTTACGCAGTGCACGCAACGAAAGCTCACAAATAAAATATTTTTTTACTCGTTTTTGCAACATTTTTCATTCATGTTCCACTCCTCCTGGTCCTAGCGTAATGTCATATAGCCTATTTTTCGAATCAGTCAAGTATTTTCAGAGATGAACCAATTTTTTTTTCTTTTTTTTTTATAGATAGGTCTGACAAATGACTCCACCCCACCTGATGTTAAGTGAAGGTGAAGTCCAGACGTGAAGATAGCTGATACAGCAGTTTTACCTGCCACACCAGCCATCTTCACCCTGCCGGCCTGCATGTTGCTTCTTCAATTTATGATCAAATCAGCCTTATGAAACGCGAGGCCACACCACGCGTGTTGAGTCAAATTAAAATATACTAATTTGTATGATCAGAATCACATTAGAAACGTCCGATGCGGCGATTAGTGCAATAATTATGAGTGATTACAGTGATGGGTGTGTACAAACCACTGCGTCACTAGAAACATTTAATAATAATGGCATGGACCAATGGTAAGGAGGACACACTTTTTTAACAGAAGAGCAATGGTGCATTCTATACAACGGGTCCTAAACTACGCAACAAAATTATCACTATCAGTTAAATAAATTTTATAAGATAAACTAGCGGCCGCCGGCGACTTCGTCCGCGTAAACTTTATAATGTTTTTTAATCTCTCAAGAACCTGGATCAGTGAAATTATAATGGATACCTATCCATCAAAAATCAATCAAATCAAAATATCAATCAAAAGTATGATATAAGCGCTGGAAATCAATTTCTAAATGAAATCGTTAAAACACAACCGTCAGCAATAGCCCGCTCGCGCGTTTGTGATATTGATTCGTTGGTGGGAGGCGTTCGACGTGACGGCACAGTGGTGGTTTGCGCGTGAGCTGCGCGCGGTACTGAACAGTACTTGAACATTGCAACATTACTTTATTTTTCTTAAATAAAATATTTTTTCTAATATAAAAGTAGCCTAAGTTATTACATCGGTTACCTGCCAATAAAAGTCCCATCAAAATCGGTCCAGCCATTTCAGAGATTAGCCGGAACAAAGAGACAGACAGACAGACAAAAATTCTAAAAAAAAAATTCGGTGTATGTACCGTATAATATATTCATATGGATGCAGTAAAAAGCGGTTATTTCAATATTACAAACAGAAACTTCATTCTTTTTATTTATATGTATAGAAGAAGATGAATAGATAAACGGGAGGACAGATTAATAAAGGATCTTTGGTCGAAAGCTTGTGTTCCGGCGCGGCGGTTCCAATGCCAGCTATTTGACACCCACTTTGGCGTCTATAGGTAACAATAAAGTTTTTAATTACAATAATGTTTTAAATTCGGATAACGTTAAACAATAAGATATTTATCTATAGGACTACTTAGTTTCAGTGTAAAAACATAAATAATGAACTATTTCAGGATGTATTAATAATGACAAAATATACAGTAAATGCCTATTAAAATAGTATATATATATATACAATTCTTCTCTAGGCAGATTTTGAGGATGCAATAGCTGTTGATGTATCTAGTAATGTGGTGGTAGGAATATCTACCGAGATGTGACGCTCTCAATGACATACATACGAATTTTACTTAGCTACCTATTAGCCTTTTTATTGTGCCACTTCTTATTAGACTTTGTGTTGATTGAATGAAAATATCTGAATTGATGAAAACGATTCTACAGGTAATTATTAAACCGATGCACAAAACCCTTGTCGACATGCCTTTTATTGTCAAAGTCAGATGCGTTTTGTTGTATCATAGTTGTATTGTTCCTGGGCTACTTTTAAAACGTACGCTCTGAGCGCAACTATTAACCCTGGCATTTCAATAATATTGCCTAAAATGTACAAAATATATGTCAAATTTGACATTTGTTGCACTTGATGCGTAGGTTTAGAACGCAGCCCTGTCCCATGCAACTTTACATCAAAGTTCCGTTTCGATCCATTTCGATCTTTATTATAGTAAATCGCAAAGTGAACTTTGTTCGATCGATTTAAACTATCAATTCAAAACTTTATCTCAGTTAAATAGAGTTGAATTTTTTTAAACTTTCCGGAACGAACTCTAAGTGAACCTGACTAGCTAAAGTAATTTAGTAAACACTAAACAATTGCAAAAATTTTTTTGCTAACTTTAATATGTCCATAAAATTATATTGTGACTTGATGTCACAACCCTCACGTACCTTGTACATATTATTGAAAACTATCAAATGTGATTTTGAAACAAAACTCGTTGACTTGAGAAAGGGTAAGGACAACTAACTTATTGTGTTATTAATAATTTGTATTTGATTTTAATGAATACGTAGAATACTTACTTTCCTGATTGTATGTTCATCACCTTAGTATTGTCTTAGGATTAGTGATTAATTTGATAACTTATGTACTTAAATTACAGGTCAACATTTCTCTGATGAGTTCACAAAAATAAACAAAATACAGAGAGTTCCTGTAATTGAACACAATGGATTTATTTTAAGTGAAAGGTCTTTTTTATAGTAAATTTATTTTATTAGCTGTTATTTTATTATAAACCTAAAGTTTTTGTTTGTATTTATAGTTAGTTTAAAAAGCTATTGACCAGGCTTCTCATTAATTTATATATTTTATATATATTTCTTTGGCTCTGATGTAAACTTTGCTTTTGTTGTTTTCACCCTTTGAACCCCAAGGGATCGATATTATTTAATTGATAACTTTTACACTATCCTTCTATTTTAGCGTTGCCATAGTAAACTATTTATCCCGGGAGGGGATTATTCCTGACAACTTGTACCCACAAGACTCTAAGAAGAGAGCGAGGGTGGAGGAGTTTCTGGAATGGCACCACATCGGGTTGAGACTTCCTTGTTCCATGTACTTTAGGGTCAAGGTAATTAACAACAGAGATAAATATAATCTTTCTATATAATTGTTTATTTTTTTATAATGTTTGTAAGACAGACAATCATACAGTCTACTATTACTATTTAAACATTGCTGACTTCAAAAATTTTCTCATTAAGAAAATGTGGGAAAACCCTAACAGGCCCTTTTAACACAGCTAAATCATACACCGCAGAAAAATTGCTTTAAATATGAGCAGTATATGACAAACATTATTTATTATTATGCTGTTTGGATAAAAAATGCTAATCACCTAATTAATCCTTGACTAATGTTATTAAATAAATTTTATCAGTAAGCAGGCAATATAATAATAACTATTCTTTTTTAAACAGCAACTTGATCCGATTATTACGGGAAAACAACCAGAGGCTAAAACGGTAGCTGGCTACGAGAATCGGATGCTCCAATCACTGGACACTTTTAGCACAAAATGGCTGAATCAAGGGCACAACTTCTTATGTGGCAACACTGTCACTGTTGCCGACTTGTTTGCTGCTTGTGAATTAGAGCAACCCAGTGAGTACAAAGTACCATATAATTTGCAATCAAATTCACATAAATCGTAGAACATTTAGACTAAACATCTAAAGCATAGAAGCAAGGCTATGACTTTTAAGTGTACACTCCCATGGATAAAAAATTAACGAAAAGATTTCCAAAAATCCGAGGCGACGGCGCACGTTCAATTGACTATCTTCTGTGCTCTTGTCTGCATCAACTTTTGGCTAGTATAGGTAATATTATCAACAAACTAGTGTGCCACAAAGGAACAAACATACATAATATATAGACTGTTAAACACTATACCCTGTCTGCGCGTCGCGCTTCGCGCTCTGGCATTGCGCAGTCGGGTAAAAAAAACATTAGAGACTGTTCACCCGCACACCCGAAATTGTATTGACGGCGCTGCGAAAGACAGGAGTCCCTGCTGCCAACGCAACGGAGGCTCTAAGATAGCGGACGCCCTAACGGCCTGCGCTGCGTTAAGCGAGAGCACGGAGTGGACGTCCACTCCGACTCCGTCCACGACTTTGTTTCATGTTATTTCATAGAGCAGCGCTGCGTGAGGCGGTTCTCCTGCGCGGCGTTTTTCTTCATTTCGTAGAATAGCGCTGCTCTAAGAAATAACATGAAACAAACACGGGGAGCGGACGTCCGCTACGTGGTCCCGCTTAACGCAGCGCAGTCCGTTATAGTAGCGGGGATTTTTAGATTTGCTCGAGTGCGACAGATTAACATAAAGAGGGTGACGTTGCACCTTGAGAAGTACTTCCACCATACCTGAGCTTTCTATGTAGGGCTGACTTAAAGTCGCGACCAAATCGTCAGTCTCCTTAAAAGGAGCTACTAGAGAGTTTACGTATCATAACGGGGGTTTACGTAATATGTAACTAACTAACTAGCTAGCTCACTAGCTCCTCGCTAGCTCAATAAACTGACGATTTGAGCGCGACCAAAAGCCATGGCCGTTTGTTATTATTTTTTTGCTGCCCTACACGTTTGGCCCAACGTAGAAAGCTCAGGTGCAAGGTTACCCCCTTTATGTTAATCTGCCGCGCTCGAGTAAATCCAAAAATGCCAGCCTGGGCTCCCCTACCATTAGGGCGTCCGTTGCCTTAGAGCCTCCGCTACCAGCGGGAGCACGGAGCGGACGCTCTTAAGCAGCGGAGGCTCTAAGAAACCTCATGGACGTACAACCGTCAAAACGGCCATTATAGCGTGCCTATGTGTCCCGTGTACAAAAAAAACATCTTTAATAATATTAAGGAACTATTATGTGATTTGTTGTTTTTTATTAATTTAGTTACCTAAATACATATTATTTTTCACAGGAATGGCAGGCTATGATCCTAAAGAGCATTTTCCGGCAATAGCTACTTGGGCTAAGAAAGTACAGCAACATTTCAACCCATATTACGACGAAGGCCATGTTATAGTAAACAAGGTGATAAATAAACAGAAGAAGATGTCTTCAAAAATATAATGTAGAAATGATGAGAAAAGATATTATTATACATAGGTGATTTTATAAGGTTTTGGGGTAGTAATGTATGATGTAGTGTTAAGTAATGATTCCATTTTTATCAGATACAAGTTTTATGACATGCGCTCATTAATAAATTCACAGTATCGGTGGTACTCATGTCAGAGTGCATTTGCAATTTACTAGATTATCTACTTACAATGGGATTTTTATAATAATTTTACCTATCATAATTTTCTACTATGCAAATGAATGCTTTTAAGAAGTTGTTATGGCTTTAAATATAAAATTTAGATTACAAATGATATTATATATTTTTTAAGAATTTTTTTACTATGTTTTTAAATAATTTTCATTTGTTATACTTACACTGAGTAGATGCAAGTTGGTTTTATTAAAGGTTTTATTATCATATATTAGACTTTTTTATTTCTCCATACGATTTTCAGTCCGTCGCACTGCACACTCAGCTGCCCCACACTGAACATTATAAAAAAGTAGCAAAATGTAAAGCAACCAAAGTCCTTAGTCCACCTACTTGACTCGCTTGCATGAACAAACGTTCTGCTTCCTGCACGTCGAAACTCGAATGATTTAACTAGGTAATTCACATGATGCTCAGTTGGGATTAGAATTCGAATTCGAGAATCATACTTCTACACCCTCCATTTATTTATATGAACTTGCCCCCCTGCTCCCTCTTTTTTTTAATGTCTGGAAAATACTTTACGCACTCTCCGCCCACCGGGAGAAGCAAAGCGAAGCTATCCGGGTCTCCTCCCCACCCATTTCCTCCAGCCTCGTGGCCAGATGAACTGAGCAGGGCCCTACTTAACGATAAAAACCAGACAATACTCCTGCACCGGTTGGCCGATTCACACTACGAGGACTGCGGTAAACGAAGAACTCCGTGGCCCCGCCAGTGATTGTCCGTTGCCGGACCCACCCCGATGTGCGGTTTCCCGGAGTAAAAAGAGCACCACACATTTCAGGAACTGTGCAATGCTGGCTGGCGCTCCCACACCAGCCCGCTGGCTCCCGGAGGAGTGAGAGGGTGAGCGTAGTTCCCCCCTCCCTCTCCTCTCGACGTTGATGCAGGAGCGAGCCCCCTCTCTCCCGGTTACCCGCGTCTTTCGTTCCCTTCTCCTAGAAGCTGGGAAGGGAGTAGCGGGTGACAGAAGTCTGAGCAGCTTGGGATATTTTTACATCTGATCTCTTTACTGACCTCTTTACTAGGGATTTTGCCCCTTGTATAAGGAGAGTCGCATCTCCCACCCACCTCCCTGGAATGGTCTGCGTGGGCAAATCAAAGAGAAGCCTGCTGCTGGTGAACAGCAGCAACTAATGATGACAAAAGAAACTACCGAGGAGCTGAAACGCTCCCTTATGATTTCCATGGGGGACATGGTCTGCACTCGACTGGCTTCTATGCAGGAGAGACTCCCGCCGCCGGAGCGAGTCAGACCGCCGCTAGCGGCGGACCGGCGCCGACAAGAAGAAAAAATGTCCCGGTCCTGAAAGGTAGGGATAGAGAGAAGCCGGAGGCAGGGAAGTCACCGCGAAAGCCTAAATCAAGGTGCCAAGCACCGCGCCTGTGGCTATGAACCTAAAGCCTAGGAGGAGCTAGGCTTCACGTACACAAACGTGGTGGCGATGGCGAGGGCGGTAATTCAGCTGCTGTCCGTACGAATAGAAGGAGGCCTGGTCATCAAAACCAGCCAGACATGTTTATTATGTTTGAAACTAATTCACGTAAGTAGACATAATGCATAATATGTAATTTAATCGGGGCCTATTAGCGTTATCAAACTCACTTCATGTTTTATAATTTCTAGTAGCTTTTGGGATTTATTTTTTACATTTATTTGAGTAATGACTGCAAGCTGGATTGGTCCCGGCTCTCTGGTGACTTATTAATAAGTAGCTTGTTACTCCATTCATAGGCATTTTTAGGATTCCGTACATCATAGGAAAATATGGTTCCCTTATGGGATCACTTTGTTGTCCGTCTGGATGTCAAGACTCTTTATTTTAGGGAACGCGGTGGAGGTATCAAGTTGAAATTCAAACTTTCACAAGAGCTTGTAACAGCGTAGACTGAATAAATGAGTTGGAGTTTGAGTTCGAAACCATATACTCAGTTCATTTAAGTTAACACTTTAGAAATAGTATGATTGATGTCAGTTTGCAGGTTTTTAAAATAATATACTGCCGTAATAGGCAAAGAGAAAGCATTCGTTTTAAATTATTTTAGGTAAATCGTTTATGTACAATGAAAAGAATATTTGTCTCAGTGTAGTTCCCTGAGGTAACTTTGAAATGTTTAATTGCACCTTTTATAAAACCTTAATAGAAGTCCTAAACACATACAAACAGTCATCCCTTGAATTGTTGGCAGAGAATCAAAGGTATTAGGAGAATAATAACAATAATTCAATGGTGCCACAATTGGTACACACAAGGATAAAGATTTGGTCGGATTGGTTAAATAGTACTTACAAACTGTATTGGGTGTATATTTATTGTATCGTACGTCAAGTCAGTCACAAAGGTGGAAAGTAATGGATCAAGGATTTCTGTCGGCTTCGACTCAGGGCGTCTCGGGGAACGAGCTTAACACAAGGAATCTCAACTCACAACGTATTATAAAACAAAATTTAAGGTAAAATTAGTTGAGTAATACACTCCCGGACGCCTAAATCGAGCCACCTTGATTTTTTTGGTTTGGAGTACTGTAACTTATAAAAGATGTATGTATAGAAGGAAAATGTTTTGATGCAGTTTTGGAGCTGGTATACTCATCATTCATTTAGAGTGCCACTGTTCTAAATTTGCACTACAGTCAGAAACAAGTCCATATTTGATTTTTAAATAAAGATATGTTTTACATGAAAATAAATGTTTATTTAGTAACTTGTATTGCCTCCCAGTGCATTTATGACAGCTCTTATACGGTTTGGCATAGAATTAATCAATGTCGTTATGACATGTTGAGGAATGTCCTCCCATTCTTCCAAAATTACATTTTTGAGCTCCTGCATGGTTTGCGGGGCAGGATGATGAGCTCGAACACGCCTCTTCAGCTCATCCCATAGATGCTCTATAGGATTAATATCAGGACTTCGCGCTGGCCATCTCAAAACAGTGATACCAATGTCATTTAAGTACTCCCTGACGATTCCCGCAGTATGGGCCCTTGCATTATCATGCATTAAAACGAAATCTTGGCCAATAATAATATAACTTGCAAAATATAGCTTGAGCTGGCAGCTACCTCGGACAAAGAATTAGTCTAGCTATCCAAAGGGGGAACGCTGCCAGTATCTTCGGAACCTTGCCTAAAGGGACTCCTTTTAATAATGTATTTTAGTTATTATATTTGATTTTTTAAGATTTTTAGTTTTAGGTTCATTGTTATAGTATATATTTTTTAAGCTAGTATTAGATAATAGTTATATTTTTATAAATACGTGACACTTTGAAGGTTATGAAAATATTATAAAATGTAAAAAGAGCACCACACATTTCAGGAACTGTGCAATGCTGGCTGGCGCTCCCACACCAGCCCGCTGGCTCCCGGAGGAGTGAGAGGGTGAGCGTAGTTCCCCCCTCCCTCTCCTCTCGCCGTTGATGCAGGAGCGAGCCCCCTCTCTCCCGGTTACCCGCGTCTTTCGTTCCCTTCTCCTAGAAGCTGGGAAGGGAGTAGCGGGTGACAGAAGTCTGAGCAGCTTGGGATATTTTTACATCTGATCTCTTTACTGACCTCTTTACTAGGGATTTTGCCCCTTGTATAAGGAGAGTCGCATCTCCCACCCACCTCCCTGGAATGGTCTGCGTGGGCAAATCAAAGAGAAGCCTGCTGCTGGTGAACAGCAGCAACTAATGATGACAAAAGAAACTACCGAGGAGCTGAAACGCTCCCTTATGATTTCCATGGGGGACATGGTCTGCACTCGACTGGCTTCTATGCAGGAGAGACTCCCGCCGCCGGAGCGAGTCAGACCGCCGCTAGCGGCGGACCGGCGCCGACAAGAAGAAAAAATGTCCCGGTCCTGAAAGGTAGGGATAGAGAGAAGCCGGAGGCAGGGAAGTCACCGCGAAAGCCTAAATCAAGGTGCCAAGCACCGCGCCTGTGGCTATGAACCTAAAGCCTAGGAGGAGCTAGGCTTCACGTACACAAACGTGGTGGCGATGGCGAGGGCGGTAATTCAGCTGCTGTCCGTACGAATAGAAGGAGGCCTGGTCATCAAAACCAGCCAGACATGTTTATTATGTTTGAAACTAATTCACGTAAGTAGACATAATGCATAATATGTAATTTAATCGGGGCCTATTAGCGTTATCAAACTCACTTCATGTTTTATAATTTCTAGTAGCTTTTGGGATTTATTTTTTACATTTATTTGAGTAATGACTGCAAGCTGGATTGGTCCCGGCTCTCTGGTGACTTATTAATAAGTAGCTTGTTACTCCATTCATAGGCATTTTTAGGATTCCGTACATCATAGGAAAATATGGTTCCCTTATGGGATCACTTTGTTGTCCGTCTGGATGTCAAGACTCTTTATTTTAGGGAACGCGGTGGAGGTATCAAGTTGAAATTCAAACTTTCACAAGAGCTTGTAACAGCGTAGACTGAATAAATGAGTTGGAGTTTGAGTTCGAAACCATATACTCAGTTCATTTAAGTTAACATTTTAGAAATAGTATGATTGATGTCAGTTTGCAGGTTTTTAAAATAATATACTGCCGTAATAGGCAAAGAGAAAGCATTCGTTTTAAATTATTTTAGGTAAATCGTTTATGTACAATGAAAAGAATATTTGTCTCAGTGTAGTTCCCTGAGGTAACTTTGAAATGTTTAATTGCACCTTTTATAAAACCTTAATAGAAGTCCTAAACACATACAAACAGTCATCCCTTGAATTGTTGGCAGAGAATCAAAGGTATTAGGAGAATAATAACAATAATTCAATGGTGCCACAATTGGTACACACAAGGATAAAGATTTGGTCGGATTGGTTAAATAGTACTTACAAACTGTATTGGGTGTATATTTATTGTATCGTACGTCAAGTCAGTCACAAAGGTGGAAAGTAATGGATCAAGGATTTCTGTCGGCTTCGACTCGGGGCGTCTCGGGGAACGAGCTTAACACAAGGAATCTCAACTCACAACGTATTATAAAACAAAATTTAAGGT